TGATATGATTTGACACAGTCCCTGTTGTTCAACAGAAAACAAAACTGCAATGAGCTGCTATCTTGAATCAGATCGTAAAACAAATAGATTTGCACATGTATCTGAAAATGGATGATTTTTGGAATTCAAAAAAAACAGAAACAAGTACAATATGTCTCACCTAAAAACCTCAAGGATTAATGCATGAAGTATAAAACTTTATTCTCAAAGTTCTATCAACTACCGGTATGCATACGAATCATGACAAATAAAATTGTGGCTAGAACAAGATCTGAGCTTTCAGACTCTTACCTGGTAACTAGATATATCCAATGATGATATCATAATAACAAGCTATGTTAATTAATCTCATACTTGATTATATTTCATGTTGTGATTATAGACAGCCTGGTGAGCATAACAGTGTTGCGCATGTTAAACAGAAATGCTGCCATGCACACTCAGCAGGGATTATATGCCAGCAGGCATAATAAACTTATATCAATGTGTCTGTAGCAACAGTGTATCGTTCCAACTGATTTAACAGTTCCAGGCAACAAAAACAATGTATTAAGCTATACTACAGTGACATTCAAACACTCAACAGGAGTCTTCAAGTGTCTACTTTTGTTGTGTGACAAAGTAACAATCTTGTTTCAAATACACAGATCATACTGCTACAAACTGTTACACTGTAACTATGGGTCTGCTAGTCAAACATTTTACAACTGACAATGAATGACACTATAGTCTTGATAAAAACATACCACATATTTTAATTTGTTGACCCTTTTATTAGTGTGATCACCCAAATAGTTTTCATTAATGATTTAATTATTACTACTTTATTATTATATAGTAGCAGTTATACTAGTATTTTCTATAATTCCCTGGAAAGTTCTGCTTAAAATTAGGTTACTATGCCCAATTTGAGTAAGATTAGTTATGTAAAGTGATTTAATATCTAAATGTAAATATGCCGTATGTCACAATTTTGACTCTATATTAAAAAAATCAATGTATATCTTAATTTAAATATATGAATAACATTCATAACAAAATATAGCCATAATTGTAGCAAGCTATATTTCTCAAATATTAAATTGGAATAATAACTTCATTACAGTAAAAGATTTAATTAATTGTTAAACGAGTTTTACATAAATTAATTAATTAGGTATCATTATAAATTTAAATAAAACATATAATTTTAAGTCTATGAACACATTACATCAAATCATTCGTATTAAAGTATTCCACTTATTCTTCTGACCAGTAATATCTGGTGAATTAGGTTCACAACTTGAAATATATAAAAATCATACTGTTTACCAATGATTTTTTTTGAAGTTCTAGTGGGATCTAATCTAGTCGGATTTATTTCTCAAATAACTGAGCTATGACTATGAGAACAAATATTTAGATAAACACTACAATATTTGCTGAGCAAATCATCCTTAGAGTCACATAAAAATGTGCTAAATAAATAACATTCTA